TGTGTTCTCCCTTATTAGGTCTTATACATTTTACATTTAGACTTATGTGAGTCATATATATTCTAGGAAGAAGAAATTGGGCGACCTGTAAGCCGAGGGGAACTATATATTGCTACTCATAAGAGAAAAGACGGATCATATGCCAATGAGGAAACAAAGGCTATAGTGGTGAGTTACATTAATGTCTGTATCACTATTTTGGATCTGCATCATCATTGTTAAGTAGTATTTCTAGTGAGTCTATCTATATATATTTGTGGTGTGGTGCATAAAATTTGCAATAATAACTATTACTTGTTTTCATATAATAAGGCACTATTATAGACAGTAGCATTTCCAAAATAGTGTCTCAGGTGTCTCCAAAATAGTTCATTTTTATGTTAGACTCACAAATATTGAACATGTACAGGAGCAGATTCATGAAGAATTAAGTCAGAGCACTAATTCTATTGAAATTTCAACAAATGATGCGGTTGCAAAAGTTTTAGGACCAGAGCACTCTGGTCGCGTACGTGGTTTAGGCCTAGGTGGCCTTCCTAGTATTGCCTTTGGACTCACCACTGGACGATTTAATCCTATTGGCTCCACTTTCTCAAGCATGAATTCAGCTGAAAGTTCTAAATTGAAAGAAGAAGTTATTACCTTGAAGACCAAGTTAACAGCTTCAGAGGAAACTGTCAAGACATTACAGACTGTAATGCTTGCTTATATACAAATGAAAGAAGGAAGAATTCCTCTAGAGTTGGATGCATTGTTGGGCATGGCTTCTACTCCAATGGTAATGATTTATATGGTTATTAATTAATATTGAACTCTATATAATACAAGTTCTTGAGTTAAGTGCTTTATTCGCTGTAGCATTCTAAAAGAGTACAGTAAATTGTTCTTTGACAGAATGAAGGAAGTGAAGCTGGCCCAACACCACGCATGAGTTGACACTATATATTGTGGATTGTGGAGCTTTAAGATGGATGTATTGTGTATTTTGGTTTAGGATAATTGTAACTTTCCTACTATTGTTTACATGGTAATGACCTTTATGCATTCTAGTTTTTTTGAGATGATAAACGTTATGTCTGTTCGAATGTGTACAATTACAAAATACCTGTTTACTATATGGCAATTGTGACCAACAAATATTCAATTGTCCTAGCTTTCTTAACTAACTAATTAGTTTTCTAGTTTTTTTAAACTCTCTGTCACGTTTGTTGACATACGTGTTCCATTTACATGTATCTATGCATGCATTAGAGACATATGGAATCATCTTTTAGATGGTTATAAACACGAGGGGGCAAAGTTCAAATTATTAACCAGATTCAATGCATGCCAACAACTATAAAATTATGGGGGAACTACAACCGGAATAGCACACAGATAGTGTTTTTTTTTGGGGGGGAGGGGGGGTTCAAAAAATGCCAAAAAATGAAACTTGTGGGGATTAGAAAACGTCAGAAAATGAAGCATATTGTAGAGGTTTATAAATGCCAGAACATGCAACATTTTGTAGAGGTTTATAAATGTCAGAACATGCAACATTTTTTGGGGGTCAATAACCCCCACAAATTTCTTCAACAAATACTGGAGGTCATGCCAGCGGCTGCATAAAAAATGCTACAACATATGTTGTGGCGAACGTCATACCAGCGTGTTGGTTGAATGCTACAAATGTAGTATGTGGAGGTTTAAGGCCCCCACTATTTGTACATATGACCCCCACTATATGCATATTTTTTTGTAGTGAGTAAACTTACTTGGTATAGTGCGCAACGATTATGGAGAATGAAAAAGGAGGCGTCGGCAGGAAGAAAAGGAAGATAAAGTTGAAAGAGAGAAAGGAAAAGCAAGAAGAGGAAACGAAAAGATAGAATGAAGGAAGAGTATAAAGAGAGGGCGAGGGAGAGTTAAGCGTGCGAAGGAAGTATTACTGTTTCGAATTTCAAAATGAAATGATTAAACAGATGCCATATCGCGCCATTTGATAAAATCCGGATCAGGCAAAAGAGGACATGTGGCAGACGTAGTGTATAGTGGCAGGTAGCATTTAATGATAGTATTACTCCCTTCATCCGGGTTATAAAGATAAGACAAACTCATATTAGGCAACTCGGAGTATTTCGTGCGTAATATTCTAAGTCGGGGGCTTAATGTTCTGGGTTTGTGGCTCAGGTAGGCATACTTATGCATAACCGAGAAGTTCACACTCGGATTAGGTAACCCGGTAGACTTTAAGCTCGTATACCCGAAAACCCAAATCATGGCTTTAATCCATGTTTACATCCACGAATACAATGATATACCACGATCCTTATAACTGCCAAGTTGGTAACTGCCCTATATCCACTAATAATAAACGTTGATATAACATATATAAAGGAGGACATAGAAGAAGAAAAGATTAAGTCGAAAGCACCGAGAATCACCACAAAACCTACCTAACATTTAATGTTCATATTGAACATATGGCATGGCTCTCCTTCTTGGTATTATCTCCAAAATGCAAAATAAAAATTTAAGGATGAATTTTATATACAATTTTTTTATATAACATCTATCATTAAATTTTATTTATCTCCCAATTTTAAAGTTACAGCAGATAGACCCTTAATTTATAGACTATAATGACAAACTTCACTGCCAATGGGTCATCTTGCTTCATGTTCACAGTACATTCAAAATATATAGTTTATAAATAGAAGGGTAAAGGATTTCTCCAGTCAATGGAGATAAGTTATCTCTAGTGAACTCAAAACGATGTCGTTTTGTGACGAAAATCAAGGTATTTTTGTAATTATAATATATTGCAGGGTTATATTAGTCTTTATCATTATAATTTTTTAATCTTATAACTCAAAACGACGTCGTTTTGAGTTCACTAGAGATAACTTCATTTCCGGTGACTGAAGAAATACTTTTCCGTAAATGGAAATTAGGACTTCTTAATTAAAATGAATAGTACAAAGAGTAATATTACTCACACAAGATTTTTTTTTTTTTTTCAGTCATTCACTGAAGTTTAGTTAAACAAACTCTTGGAGCTATAATAAGAAGATGAATTTGTGCGAGGCTTCTTTTTTTGATTTTATAATTGGTAAAATACCCATATGCATATTGCACTTTGTGTGTTCATGAGAGGATTTCTCTCTCATATAACATGAGAAAAATAATACTCATATATAAAATGGGAAATCATTTTCTTATGTAATAGGAGATAGTTTTCTCATGTTGTGAGACATCGAAATTCGTGCTATCTTTTTAGTTTTTTCTTCTTTTTTAATAAGTGGTGGGCTCCACCACTTATTGTGTCTATGACATGAGAGATGATATCTCATGTGACATGAGAAAAGAGAAGCCCATATAAAATACTTCAAATCAATGGCATCTTACACAAGTGATCTTTTTTATGTTGTCAACTCCACAGGAACTAAGATGTATGTCCGAATCACATATTTTATGAGAAATTATTGTTAAGCCTTCAAGGGTTTTGAACCTTGAAATTATTGTCTGCATATGAAACTGTCAACATATTCTAATCAACTGCTGTAGCCTGTAGCAGTTATTTATTTATGTCTTCTAGTATAAACCTTGAAGGGTTTAGGACCTTGAATTTCCTTGTATGTATCTATAGCTCCCGGTTGAAAACCAAAAGCTTAAATTGGTTCAGAAACTTAAATTGTCAGTTACTTAACAATTCACAGTGCGTCTTGGGTATGGACAAACAAAAGCTTCAACTGGTGTTTGTTCAGGATTATTTTAAGGTTGGGAAAATATTCATTCATTGAGGTGGGTGCTAGATGAACCCAAATAAAAAATTCGTACAATATTCTTGGAAATTATTTTTTACCAACATCAACAACACTTTTATCTCAAATTAATTGGAGTCGGTAGTAGATGAACCCAAATAAAAGAGACGAAAAGGTTGAAAAAAGATGAAAAAAGAAAAAGAAAAAGATAAATAAATAAATAAATAGTAATATAATATATATATATATATATATATATATATATATATATAAAAGTGATAAAAGAAGGGGGAAAAAATAAAGGGGGAGACGAAGAGAAAAATGACTAAAAAGGGATCATCTCAAACATAGGAATAATGAGTCTAACCTTCCACCATACATATAGATTTTCTCCATTTCATTATAAGGCACACCGTCCGCCAATCTTTATCTCAATCCATTAAGTCTTGTTTTACTACCTTTCTCCAAGTAAGTTTTGGTCTACCTCTACCTTTCTTTGTATTGAGCCATTGGTAACAAACTTTTGTTCTTACGAGAGCATCCAGGAGCCTTCTCATTACGTGCCCAAACCATCTCAATCTATGTTCTCTCATCTTTTCAGCCACCGGTAGTACTCCTACCTTTCGTCGAATATCTTCATTTCTCATCTTATCCATTCTCGTATAATCACGCATTCACCTTAATATCCTCATCTATGCTACTCCCATTTTATCCTCATCTCAATAAAAAAAAATATTTTCTCTACCAAACGCCCCCTAAAAGTTTAGGGGAATATCTAAGACTCGGTGGTTACTATTGAAGGTTTATTTGTGATTATGTTAAGATTGCTAAACCATTGACTAATATGTTAAAAAAATGGAAATTTTATATGGACAGCAGAGTCTTCTTCTGCCTTTGAGGCCTTAAAGGATGCTATGATTACTGTTCCTGTACTTGTAGTACCTGATTTTACTAAACCTTTTGACATTGAATGTGATGCAAGTGGAAAGGGTATTGAGGCTGTTTTATCTCAAAACAAACATACTATTGCATTTTTCAGTAAGGCTCTTGGACCAACTTCTCTTACTAAATCAGTTTATGAAAAGAAGTTAATGGCATTGGTGTTAGCTATTCAACATTGGAGAACATATCTTTTGGGCAGGAGGTTTGCTTGAACAACGCATCACAACTAGAAATTAACAGAATTACCAACAAAGCCCTGCACAGTTGATAGATAACTGAGTTCCTTAAACTTGTTGACAAGAATTCGATCCCTAATCGTACATATGAAAAAAAACTTTGTTAGAAAAAGTTTATCCACTTAACGTGATCTCTCGTCTCGAAATGATTAGTCTTTAGATGTCGGCCGGAAGATACCTTGAAAAACCAAAAAAAGTCAACAGAATTGGCATGCTAAGCTTTTGGGTTTAGGACCTTGAATTTCCTTGTATGTATCAAACTCAGACCTCTTTCTTCCGTCAAGAGAAATCAAAACTTGATTTATAAATTGATTTTCAATCCAAAGAGTCGAGGACTATATTAACTCAATGCTCTTTGACAACATGTAGCACTTTTATAAAATGCATTTCTTTCTATACCCCATTGCTCAATCTAGGCATGGGTGATCCAATCACTTTGAATTTGAAACATTTACCTAAAACAAAGAAAATGTCCTCAACTTGCCAAAATTGATAAAACAAGGCAAGGAGGCCTTACATGCCTCTTTATCAACAGAATATAATTTCTAACATAGAAAGTGTGTTTGCTTCTTGTTCTTGTTTTTTTCCTCATTCATAAGCCTTCTCCCAATCATCTACTACTTCAGAAACTTCAGCTACATCTGAGTTTCCTCCAAGTTGCCCTTCTTCATTTGACCCACCTGCGTGAGACTCCAACCTTGAGACAACACTACTTTCAGTATTTTTCCCAGAAACTTCAGTTCCAACAGTTGTAAACGATGAACTTGTGCTCGATTCCTGGTCTAAGACATTCCAACGATTTAACAAAGCAGTTAGTGGAGCTTCTTTCTTCCAAACAGATGGCTGGATATTAGCAGAACCAGTAGACCAATCTTCATCACCCCAAGAATCTTCTCTCCAACTAGACTCTTGTACTACAGCTTTTCTCCATGGATTACCTTTCAATGCTGACAGTGCTCCTCCTTCTTTCATTGTCCCAGCTCCTCCCCAGGCATTGGTAGCTGAAGATGCTGCAACCGAAACAGCTCCCTGATAAACTGATCCATGATCCAACCTCCTCATTGCAGTTGCAGCTCGGGCAGGATCATGGAAAACAGCTAAAGCATTCTTGTCATTCAACCAAACAAGCTCACACTCACCACCAAATCTCAACACCAAGGCACTGATATCAGCTTCCCTTGGCAAATCTAGAAATGAGACAACAAGCCGCGGGTCCATATCTACCAAAGGATCAAATGCAGGAGGAAGAGGAGTACTTGAAGTTGTGGTACCCTTAGCCCCTAACACACGAGCTGGGGCCTTTGATTTTTGGGTAACAGAAACTACGATAAATCGCCTAGGCTCCCAACCAGCAGCATTCACTGCAAGTTTCCATCTTTCAGCAATCAACCTCACTGCATCTCTTTTATCCTTCAGCATAGGACAAAAAACATGGACTTTTAAACTACGTGCAGTTCCTCTGCTCTTGCCAAGTACTAAAAATTTGCATCTCTCCTCAACAGCTAAAACCCACTTCGGATCACGTCTGAACAAGTCAGAAAGCAATTCAGAAGAAAGAGAGTTTTCACCAAAATGGAGAGAATCCAGACTTGAAGCACTAATGTCAAAAGCATCAGCAAGAACTCTTTTACGCTCCAACTTAGCGCATTCATCATCACACATCAGCTTTCTTTTTCCAAGGGGAATTTTTATGCCATTTGCATCAACCGGTTGAAGTGGAACAGGCAACTTTTGAATAATAGAAGCTTCATGTATGGCATCAGCATTATAGTTACTACTACTACCACCACCAGCATCACAAGGAACATTTGCTGTTATACGGCCACAAGAACAAGTAATTGTAACAGGGAATTCGCATCTTATATCCGGGCATGGAGATGAAGGGTGACATGGAGCCTTACACGTATGCCGGCAGTCTCGCCTTGGAGCACCACATGTTTGGCCACATGGTGCTTGGAAACCTTGCACACAACCAGATGTATTATCACAAGGTGGGGGATGACATGTTCTGCCGCATGCATGTAAACCACACTGTCTGGTCTTGCCACAGAGATTATTGCATCTAATATCCTTTGAACCACAAGGTATGTTCCTAAGAACAGCATGCCCACCAACGCATTCTTTTGCTACAGGCACTGAACAAGGAGGGCAGTCTCCAAAATGGCAACTGTGTGAGCCTGAATGGCCACATGGTTGAGGAACTGAACATGGAAGCTGACACGAGGGAGGCAGTGTACCACAAGGTAGAGGAGGAGGGATTGAAGTCCTACCACAAGCACAAGTCAAATCGGTAAAGATTGTTTCAAGACAAGGTGGGCAATAACCACTGTGACACAGTGATTCACACACATGCTGACCACATCTAAGCTTCTTTCCGCATGACATGGAACAAAAGTGAGGATCCCAATCCCCACTTAAATTATTATTTGGATTAGAAAGAGGACAACACCTTTCACTACATCGATGCCTTCCACAGTTCTTTTTCTGCCCACAAGGCTTTGCACAAGTAAATTTCTCATTCTCCATTATTGTCTTATAGCACTCCACAGTTCGAGAAGTTGAGCCACAACGACACTTCTGTGAAACTAGAACCAAACAAGGTGGACATTCCCCAACATGACATGTTTCTATACAATTATGCATCCCACAAGGAAGGAGCTTGCCACATACTTGAGAGCAGGTAGGTATAGCATCCAAGCAACTCTGGCGTTCATCCTCCAACCTTGTTCTCCCACAAGGGCAAGTCTTAACCCGGCTTGGTAAAAGTTCACACTCCCCACAGCTGCCTGGATGACAAATCTCACTGCAGATATGATTCCCACAACTAAGTTTCTTTCCACAATTGGAACCACAAGAAAAAACTCCATCATCTACATTGAATTCACCCTTCACAGACATGTCCCCACAAAGAATAACCTCCATCATTTTACTGCAAAAGCAAGAGGCGTTTATTAGAACCTGGCAAGGATCACAAGGACCCACATGACAAACGTTTTCACAGCGGTGACGCCCACATTCAAGAAGCTTATCACAGCGCTGGCCACAGGTAAGAACAGACTGCCGATCAGAGCAACGGGTGGTAATTGTTTTCTTCCCACAAGGGCACAAACGTTGAGGGGCAAATGCTTTACAGGGAGGGCATGGACCCGGATGACATTGCAAGACACAAACATGAGGGCAAAGATCATCCTTGCTCATTCCACTAACCAACAACTCCCTCTCAAGAGGCTTCCCACATGGTTCTCCACACGAATGTGGTGTCAGATACAAATCAGATGGAGGGTCTGGCCTTTTCCCACAAAAGCAAATATACCTAATCTCCTTCCAAGACATGAGCTTCACAGACTGACAACCGGGACACCGCCAATTAAACCCTTGATTCTTCTCCGCAGACAAATCAACTGAGGTGGGTGCCCTAGCCCACTTCTTGATGCAACTCAGATGAAAGATAGAGTAGCAACTTGAGCAAGACCAAACAGGCGCCGACCTACGGACCATGTCATAGCAAATCATGCACTCCACGGTGCCTTTTATGAGCTTCTCCTGAATCTCTTGCACCAACTGAGGCAAACTTGAGTCTCTCAATCCTAATCCTAATCCCCTCACCACCTGATTCCCACTTCTCCCTTTATCCCTTTCCTTTTCCTTTTCCTTTTCCTTTTCCATCCTATGATTACCATCATTGCTTCTATGCCGAGTCACGGGTGGAGCAACAGCAAAACCATGATTGGAGCAACCAGAATCAGCATCAGCATTAGCATTTTGATGTGAGTTCAAATTTGATGGCTGGACAACAGTGCTGGATGCACCTCTAGGAACCCATTCCTGACGAACAGGAGCTTGTGATCGAGCCCTTGACCAATCCTTCCGTTCTCTTCGAATTTGCAAGCTCATCTCTTTGCAACGTTCCTACAAACACCCAACATTCAAAATTTCAAAACTATAACTACAAATAGCACAATTCAACCACACACACACACACCAAACCACAATTCAGAACCTACCCCTTGATTCTTCTCTAACTCAATATATAATTAAATACAAAATTAAAACGAAACACACACACAGAGAGAGAGAGAGAATCAATACAAAGAATTGTAGATTACAATTAACCTTCAAGAAATAAACTTAGAACTGTAACACAAACTTAACAAGGTTTAATTTTATTTTTAATTTTTATCTTATCAATAATAACTAACTATGAAATGAATATGCAGAGAAGAGAAACAATGCGATACCTGATGGTGAAGGAAGCACAATTGAGATTTCGTTTGTTGTTGTTTTCTGTGTCTCAATGGTCAGATTTGTTATGTACGAGACACTGTGTAGGGTTTGCTTTATATGTGGTTAGAATTTTCTTGGAGTCGGTTGGACGAGGAAAAATAAAAAATAAAAATAAAAAATCTTGGAATTCCGTTAAGTGAACCGACCCGGAACTGAAGGGGGGGAGCTTAGGCCTCAGTTAATAACATAAGGTATGCAGGCCCTATAAGCAAAAGCCCATGACATTTTGATTTTTTTTTTTTTGGGTAGAAATTACATTTTGATTTCTACTCTATGGGAAATGCAAGTAAACCGTGTTAATTATGTTTTCTTTTCTTTTTAATAAAAAAAACTACTTGAAAATTAATTTGCATAATCAATTTAGGAAAAGTTTTAGAATTTATTTGGTGGACAGATATTCTAGGAGAACTAGATAAGAGTAAGAAAGGATATGAGTATAATAAGCTCATATACTATTTTGTGTTTGATGTTAATTAGATAAACAGTCTGATAAAATAATATTATCATATCCGATGTTCGAGGCGAACCACCCTTTAATAGAATTTCATATGATATTTTAAATTTGATTTTTAAACTACTCTTCTTCTTCTTTTTAAGCCTTTACACATTATTTCTTATTTTAAATTATTAAATAAATTAAAAGTCATGATTTTAAATAAAATATATTAAAGTGCATAAATAAATTTTAAATTTTTTTCAAAATATTAAAAATTATATCCTTACCAAATAAACTTTAAATTAATTGCCAATACTAGTAGCCGTGGTGGATGGTGGCGATGACAAGGATGAAGACGACGGCAGCTGGTGCGATGGGTGATTGATTGAATTGGTTGTGATACTAATTGTGGGGGCAGGTAACAATGAGTTGTGGTGATAGCGTTGTTGGTAATAATCGATGACAATTATGGTGATTGATTGGTAGCGATGACGATTAGTACTTGGTGGTTAAGGGTGCTGGTGGCCAGTAGCAACGACAACGATAGTGGTAGTTGTTGGTGTAATGGTGGTAGCACCGACACTGACAGGTGGCAATTGTAATAGCTAATTGATGGCGATGGGTGGTGGTAATGGTGGCGGTGCTTGGTGGTTAGGGGTGGTGGTTTGTTGGTGGTTATGGCGGTTGTAGTGATAGTGATGGTGGTGAGTGGGGGAAATTATGGGGTCTGGTTGGTGGTTGTAGCCTGCGACAATGGTGGTGGCTGGGCAGCTCATGGTGATGGTTGGTGGCGATTGTGGTGGTGATAGTGGGTGGTAGAAGTGGTGATGACCGGCAGCGGCGATGGTGGCTTGTCGGTGGCAAGAGTTATCCCTCATATAACATCTCAAATAATTAAAAATGCATTATTACGATTGAATTGTGGATTAGAGCGCTTAATTGATGAAAATCCTAAATTTCGGGTGAAAATACACTCGAAGGGCAAAATGGTAATTTGACAATTACTGAACCCTAAAATTATGAAATGATATAATTAGACATTATTTGGTGAAAATAATGTTGGATTTGAATTCAGAACAAAATTTGGAAGTGGATAGACACTTTTTTGGAAAATTGGTGAATAGTGATTTTTAGCCGATGAAATATCGTAGGGTAATTTTACTGAGAGGTTCAAAAATCATATTAATATTCTAGGAGTGGATATATGTTTAAAGAAGTGTTTAGAACCGAAAGAAATAATTATTTGGGGAATTTTGATGTTTTAGAAAAAATATAGTTAGTTTTTGAATAGGGGCAAAAGTGAAATTATGCAAAAATTGTCTGCATCTTTTAAACATTGTATTGTAAAATTATTAAAATATATTTGTGCATCTTGAATTTATGAAAATACCTAAGTCTTGAAATTAATTAAGATTTCAAGAAGATTAATTAAGTAAATTGAATTTAGATATTTTAGAAACTTTTTCAAAAAGTCAAAAAAGGTGGCTTATTTTTATTGGTCTTAAAATTGGCCTTAAAAGTTTGTCTTCTTCCTTCCTTTAATTTGTCTTAGCCGAACCTACCATGGATGGAGGAGCATGATTTGCAACTTTTTATTTTGACACCGAATCAAGAAAGTTACAACATGAAAAATACCCAGAATCTCTTGGTGATCAAAAATCCTAAAAGAATTTCTTGAGAAAGTGAGTGTGTGAGGAGATCTATGAGCTTGAAGGTGACAGTTTTATGAGATGAGATTACCCATTATTGGTGAGTTTGTTGCTTGGAAGCTTGTATATTAATTTCTTGAAACCTAGGAACCCATTGGTGGTAAGATATCTCAATTTCACCTTATATTTCTTATGGATCAAAATTTTGGACATAATATGATGTGTATGTTGGTGAGCATGGTTAGAGAGATTTTATGGCTATATTCCTTTGGAATTTATTATTCGTATGGATAAATAATCGGTAGAAATGCAATAAAAATTTAAGTGATTTTGGTGTCAACACTTAGACAGATTTTCAAGGATGAAAGAATAATGATTTGTGAAGGAAGTCTTTGATGGATGATGTAATTGATTGATGGTTGTTTGAATTATTAATTATGAAGTTTAAAAGAGTTTTAAGGATGTGAATTAGTTAAAAAATCCTTTGATTCCTTTGATGTACAATTCGGCCATATTGCAAAATATTAGGAAAAGTGATGTAAATTGTGTTGTGGCTTGATGAAAGGTGTGTGAATGTATTGGTGATTTGGTTGATAAGGTTGTTTAAGTGATGATATTGGTTTGTTGAAATTAAAACACAATTGGTTATATTTTGAGGCTTCATGGTCGTGAGCTAGGATTTTCTGAGAATTGTTATTTTATAATTTGCTTGTGTATTCTTAAGCATGTGATTGATCGTATTGTGGTATGATCATTGTAGGTTGACTTTGATCCAATCTTGGAGGATTGAGCTTTGGAAGCTTCTTTGTGTTGGTTTGTGAAATTGCTTGTGGAACTTGTTAAAGGTAAACTTTTGTGTGTCTTGGGATTAGTCCTTTTGTATGCTCCACCATGTCCTTTGGGAATGGTTGGATTTGTGATCTTTGATAATGTGAGATACAGTATATCATACATTTTTTTAACCTGATGTTTGACATGCGTTTTAGCATGCTGGTTGATATATGTTTTGATATACTGGTATTGTTGTCTGGTATATGTTTTGATATACATGTATTATTGCCTGGTATATATTTTGATATACTAGTATCTCTGGCCAGTAGATAGAGTTATGGGAGTTCTACTGGATAGGTCTCCGTGGAGAATTCTAGTCGAGTTTTGTCGTTATGTTGTCTTCGTTTTGGGAGTAGTACAAGGAATGTCTCGGGAGTTATGGATGAGAGTCTTATAGTATTCTTGTTTGGATGTTCTGGGGTGTTGCCTAGTGACTGTTGTGATCTTGTATGTTGTATTGTACATTTGTTATCATTGCATGCACATTGAGTGAATCAATCGGTGGAATGACCCTCACAACGCGTGATTATTGAGATTGTCAAATTTCACCCCGCGTTATAGGGCATTCTTTTCAGGTACCACTAGAGTTGTAGAAGCAGTGGGCAAGAAGCCTACTTATTGTGGACATGAGCATATGGAGTATTTTGACATGTACATAGGAGTGCATGAGGATTTATTTGGCATTTTGAGATATTATTTTGTTGCACATGGTAGTTGCTTATTTTGTATCATTGACTTAGTGCATGAACATTGGTCTTATATATGGTTGTGGACATGCTTAGGGTTGTTCATGCTCTTGTGTCTAAGTCATTTGATTATTATGTTTGTTATGTAATAGTTAAATTTGATAGTTGATGTAAATATAATTGTATCATTGAAGAACTTTGTATGTGTAAATATTGATGTATGTGATGGAAGTGCTTTAGGCCTATTGTAGTTATTAATGATGTTTAATTATAATGAATGATAATGGGACATTGTGTATGAAAAGTAATGAGATGAATTTATGTATATTATGGGTTGTAAGTGTACAAAGGTATGTTGATCCTTTAGATGCCACCCTTTTGGTCAATTAGGTACCTTTGTTGAGTATTGGAATACACTTGTATAAAGTGGGAAAAAGTTATAAAAACAGAGGAGACTCTGTCGAAATTTCTAGAAAAATAGTAAGATTTAACCTTAACTTTGAGAGACTATAACTCTCTCCACAATTGTCCAAATAAGGCGTATCTTACCTTATTTTGAAGCTTAGGATGTCCTTTAAATTGTCATAAAATTTGGTGTCATTTGGATTTGTAGAAACTTCCCAGTTTGCATTTGAATGAGAGTTGTTTCTGTTCGCGCTGTATTTTACAACATTTGTGTTTGTTTTTGAAAAATTCATATCTCTCTCATTTCTTACCCAAATTAGGTTTATGATATATTAAATCGAATCCTTTGATGTCTACTAGAACATATTAAAATTTGGTGAAAAACAGATATGTTAAACTTCTGCAGTTCAAAAAGCAGTGAAGTATGTTTGAGTATTGAAAGTGCAGTTTTGACAGTTGTAAGAAATTAACTTACAACGAGCGTATCCGGAGTTGTAGAACTCCAAATGGTGCGTGTGATACCTTGTTAAAAAGGAAAAATATTTTAGAATAACATATCAAAAGATGGAAATTTATGGACAAGTAGTCCCATTGCAATTTTGGAAAAACTGAGTGTATCTTAAGTAGGTAAAACGTCAAATTATGTATTTGTGCTTCGTTGGTTTATGGGAACCAGTTAGCAACTTTAGATAGACATTGTATGATGTTCAGCAATAATATATATGGTTCCGCGATAGTTTTGAGTTATGATCACATTTTTGAAAAATGTTTAATACGAAGGTTTTACAAATGTAAGGATTTTGTAAACCGTATTAAAAAGAAAAAGTTTTACTGTATTTTTAAATGAACTGTTGTGACTGTAACTATGCTTAATATTATAATTGATGATAACATTACCAGTCGCGAACAGGGTGTTACACGTCACATGCCTAGAAATGTTCGTAGGGGAAGAGCATATGATTATATTTGGAATAAGAAGGATGTGACATTTACTATCCTATTCATTCCTAACCCGAGTCACCTTTATGATAGCTTATCTTA